ATATATGTGTATTTATGCAAATCTATGTATATGGCCTCATATACCCTTTGCGAGGTTAAAGTATAAATTTGAATTTGAACTCGGAGAATTGTTGAAAATTTTAAATTGCAAATACTAACAAGATTTGTTAATTTTTTGCTCATATGCTGTATACATAAAACTATTTGTGACGATGACGAACAAAAATGTTGTTTTTATTCAGCGTCTACAACAAATGTTATCAATATAAAGTTAAAAGTATATAAAGACATATTTTAATGAAGTCATCTAATCATTTTGATTATCAATATGCGGCCGAGCATGGAGAACTGGAAATGTGTACAATCAAATACACTATTTCAGATTAACTTTTTCCGTTAAAATTATATTAGAATGAAAGGGGCAATTCAATAAATATGATATACTTGAATATATGTCTACATAAAAGTATGTCCTCTAATATAGTGAATATATAAAAATACCTATGGAATACAAAACATTCTCATTTGTTTTTACGTTCATATAGTTGAAAATGGGAAACTGTTTTTTTTCATAACCCATTGAGACCAAAATTTTGTCACACAAGCCGAATGCAGAACAAATTAGTGCTGCACTCAGTCTTCCACTCAACTATTTATTGTAAAGCTCATAACTTAACCTATTATTTGTATATAATCAAAAATAAGTATATATACTTGTTTCGTGTGATATGCTTCATAATTTGTTGTTGCTTGCGGCCAGTATTGCGACTTACATAAAGGATTAAACAACGTGTCCTTTTCATGTATTCCTTAGTGTTGCTACCACCTGCTTCACTTATCGCTGTTTTGCAACAGCTGCCTTTAATAACTGAAAACGACTAATTTTGCACAAAACAATAACTAAATGAAATAATGTATTATACTGAAAATAATTAACGATGCAATGGTGGGTTACATAGCTAAAAATGACATCAATGTTATTTTACAAACTGACACTAGAGTCTATAAATACTCATATGTCATGACGTATATATTCACGAGAACATAACATGAATACGAAAGAACATTACTTCCAGTTCATTAAATCTACAGTCATATTCTACCCTTCAACAGATTTAATAAATCTCTAGGAATTCTAGGTGATCTGTTGTCAGTGAAACTTCAACAATATACACACATATCTCTGGTTTAGGATTCTGATTTTACTACTTAAACATATGCCGAAAATATAACATAAAATATATTGAATTACAATTTAATACTTGTAAACTCTGGCTGTTGGAATTGCATAAATGACTTTTTTCATAAACATATTGAGAGATAATTTGCCCTTCCTACAATCTTGAATATTGTGGTAGCTATACAACGGCAATTATATATTACATTCACAATTTTTGGAACATACGAAGTAGTTTACTTAAACATTTCATTGTGCACATGTATATCCAACATAGCAGTCAGTATTGCCATGTGCATTCGAATGTGTTTTTTTCTATTTAAATGTGACTTTATATTCAATTAAAAGCTTTCAATTGGAGGCACTTAAAACACACAAAGGCAGAAGCAACAAATCAGAACACTGCCGTTGTAGGCATAAAAGAAAAAGAGTTTTAATGCTAACAGACGCGACTGCAGCAACAATTGCTTGCGATCGCTGCATTCTTAATTAAAGCTAAATAACTCACACACACACCCACATTTACAACAGCCACGAAGGCACACGCACTTATCATTCAAACACGTATCAGCACTTGTTTGCATCTGCAGGCCGTGTGAATAGAGGGCCTTAATGGATTTGTGAACAGACAGTCGCTCTAACAATTAGCTCAAAATTATGAATGATGAACAAATGTATATAGATAAAGATATAGGCCTATCAGAAACTATATTAGGTCACTTAATGTAAAACCCCAAAATGGTTAATTATTTTGAGTGTAATTTTAAGGAAATGCTAATTCCATATGATTTTGTGGTACGATAATATTTCAATCCTGTCAATCTCAATATTTGAAATACTCATACATTCAAACCGAATATATTCTTTTAGACGGGTTATGTTTTAAATAATTCGATTTACGCACAAGAACTATCATTATTATACAAAAAGTGATTAGTTCCCCGAAAGCTCCTACAAGAATATTGGCTTACAATTGTGTGTTTTAGCATATTATGTTAATTTCAATAAAACTTAGCTCAATATGTCATAGCTCGTACAAAACCGTTTCACTTGCACAGGATTTGTGAATGTGCAAGAATGTAACATAAAATGTGATTTAGCGAAGATAATTCCAAATTGAATTCCACTTTGAGGATAGTATCAGAATTTGTAATAATGATTCATTGTGAAAATACAATTCGCCAACTGTACACACACATACATATAATGAATACATCCCGTATACACGGCCAATTAGTCCATATTACATTGCCAACATTGGAAAAACATAAAATAATTTATAAATTTTATGGCCATATATCCAGTTTTTAACCATATGTGAAAAACAATTCATTTTCAAAACTGAAGCTAAGAAAGAAAATTGAAAAGTTAAAATTAAAAAATACTGAAGAAAAATGTGATTGTAATTTCCTCAACCAAGAAGTCCGGAAGGCAGATAACTTAAGGCCCAATCTTGAGGTTGACAACAAAGACGAATATTTATATTTGTTGTCTTCAACTATAGAAGCAATAACTATCAACCCGCAAATGTCAACAACAACTACATCAAGGGTTTCACCTGCCTCCACACCACTGTATGATGGCTACGCCACCATAAGAGGTAGAGGTTTAACAAGATCGCTGTCGATACGGGCCAAAGAACTTGAAGCTGCCCAGCAACAGGAGGAGTATAATGAAACGGCTGAGCACGGCAAGGCGTTGGCTGACGCTAAATTGGTGGTTGAACGGAAGAGGACACAGTCATTACGTGGTGATTGTGAAAAACAGCTATCGCCATATAGAGGTATTGCCACGGACAGGACTACTAACGTTAGTGGCAGTATGTCAAAAAGTCTTCATCAACCAACGAATGACAACAAAGAAGATGTGTATATATCTCGCAATTCGGCAAAACCTGTTAAGACACCCACCGTTGCCGACATTGAGCCTTTGTATGCAACTGCCAATAGTACATTCAGGCCATTATCCGATGCCAGTTCTTCTTCGGGCGGCAATACTTCTCTGTTTGGCTGTCGAGATAGTGTAGCGGGATCTTCTGGTTCGGGAAGTATAAATACAGACTACCAAAGTTTAAAGAAAAACTCAAGATTTTCTCTAGATTCGCTACATAGTTCAGCACTAAAGACTCCCGACTACACAACTGCTGATGAAGATCAAATATTTTTATATACTGCACCAGAATCTCCAAAACGTAGATTGGATAGCGGCATAAGAAATTCCTTTGACGAATCATCTGACCGGTGTTATTCCCCCTTCAATAGGCAGGCATTTGAGATGCAAGAGTATCCTGCAACGCGAACACCTTCGGAACATTCACATTCCTCTAATTCGCCTTCCAAGTCATACAGGGTGTCGAACTCATCTGTTCACTACAAACGAGTACATTCGATGGGTGAATACTCACGGCGCCTTAGCAACCAAACAGGTTCATCATTCCAAAGAAGTGATAGCGATAGCCCCACTTATAGTGGGCCCGCCCGAAGTCCCATATCCACGGGGAAACCGCCGCCAACCCCGGTTAGAAGGGAAAGCCTTTACGCCAAGCCAAATATTTATAAGTCGCCTACCAAAAGTCCCTGTCCTAGTCCGTCATTAGTTTCTTTAGAAAAGAAGCCATCTACATCGTACTACCAACTGCCGTCACCACCTCAGCGGAGTTCAAGTGCAGAAATCTTAGAACGTTCATACACCAGCCATAGTTTAGCCACCTTGGACCAAGATGAAATTTTGGCTGTACCTTGTGCCATGCCGGTATTGCAAAATCCTGCTGATCGCCGATACCATACCTTGGGTCATATGAGGGTACAGAGTTTGGGGAGTAGTTTAAATCGACCACACGACTCTCCCATGGGCTCCCTAATGAACATGATGTCAGGAGCATATTACCACGGTACCACTAATTATTCCCATCATCCCTGCAACAATCTGCATCCCAACAAATCTGCTGGAAATATTTATGCTTCAGCTGAAGCTGCAGTGGAAGACCTAAATAGACTTGCCCCCGAATACATGGATCCACTGGATTTTAAAATTGGCTGCCAGACCACATTGAGAAGTAAGCCAATCATTCCGTGGTATGAGTTGGCTATACGCAAAGATCTAAAACGTCAATCGTGTCCACCCATTAGCAGTAGTATGCATACAAATGGAACACAGACATTAACGCCGGCAAGAAGTGTGGATAATCAGGTTAATATTTATTACAGTATTCTTATTCTATGCCCATTTTCCCAAGTAAATATTTTTATTCTGAGGCTATATCCCAGTATACAAATTGTCCATTAATAAGTTCGGTAAAAATAGGAGCACAAAGGAGATTAACTCAGACAAAAGAGTGCCTTTGGGGAATTGACAATTTTATAGGGACGAACATTCAAAATTGGGGATTAGGTGGGAATTCTTATTTCAAGGAGTCTTTCGAAACATGTATTAGGTACGATTAAATTATAGACCAATTATTTATTATGTCCTAAGATATATGATCAAATCTGAGGAATGTTATTGAGGGGTCCAAGGATGTCAAGGTGTGTAAGAATCACAAATGCCGGTTTTTACAATATACATATAGTAATGACTATACAATTTTAAATAAGGGTACACATCAAAAAATAATTTACCTTGTCTACTTTTATTAGTTGGATGAGATTTTTTCTGATGGTAAGTAAAAATAACGAATTGAAACTCAGCCAGGCTTCATACGTCCCTCTCAACACTCATCTTTACAATGTCGAATGTATAACGGGGCTAGACATTATTATTCAGGAAATCTATTATAAATCTAAATAGCCAAGACTACACCAAGGCCTTTGGCACTTACATGAAAAATATATAAAAATTGATGATGCTTTAAACTTTATTTACAGGCTCATGTTGTTAATGCTTTCGAGCAGTCGCTTTCCAATATGACGTCACGGTTACAACATTTGACGGCCACAGCAGAACGTAAGGACGGCGAATTAACGGATATGCGACAAACCATTGAACTCTTGCGCAAACAATCAATACAGGCCGGCCTAACCACTGCGCACATGCAAAGCATGGGTGTTCAAACGCAAAGCCAGACCCAAAACGATTTGCTTAGTCAGAAGCCACCGCCATTGCCGTCTTCAGTACCGGGTCAGCATATGTCGCGTGCAACACAACACAATTTGCAACAGCAATCGGCTTCATACGCTCAAACAGGTGCCATACAAAGACATCACAGTTCGGACTCCATGTGTTCCGTCAATTCCATTGGGTCATCGTGTTCCGCACAGGACAAGAAACAAAAGAAAAAAGGCTGGCTTCGAAGTTCATTCACAAAAGCCTTTTCACGTAATGCCAAAATATCCAAAACTAGTCGCCACGTTGGTAACCCGCATGTTCAGCAAACCAACAGTCAGACGATAAATTCCAGTGACAATAATTCTCCAGTTATATCCGCGCAGAACAAAACAAATGGGCATTCGCATGGTGAGGCTCAAGGTCTCTCAGCTTTAGCAACACACCATCCTCCTCCATTGCCCACATCACCCCCAAACTCGTGTCCAGCTAAAACGGTTACACTCATAGACAACGCGAAGCCCATAGATGCCATCGATCATGAGGACACTAATCATGTGGTAGAGGATTTAAAAAAACAACTTAGAGAGAAGGATTTAGTTTTGACCGATATTCGTTTAGAAGCTTTAAGTTCTGCCTCCCAATTGGAGAGTCTTAAGGAAACAGTTAACAAAATGAGAGCTGAAATGATGTCGCTCAAACAGAACAATGAAAGACTGCAAAAAATGGTCACCAGTCGTTCCTTGGCTGGATCGGAGGCTTCCTTAGGCAATGCTATCAGTCCCAACGGATCCATAGGTGAGCCTAGGCGTTATTCATTAGCAGATGGTAATACTCGACCTCCAATGGAATTACCGAAACGTTTGGAAGAGGAAACCGAAGAAGATAATACACCACCAGCACCGGCACCAGAACCACCACCACCTCCGCTATCACCAACAACCCACATTGACTTGACACCTCCTCCGCCTGCTCTCGACACAATACCCAGTCCTGCCCATGTGCCCACAACTACGGAAGAAATGCCGGATATAAATGATGGTAAAAAGATTGCTATAGCCTGTTACCTCGGCCAACCAGAATCGTTTGTCAAGTACTGTGAAGAAATGTTGGAGGTTGATGACTTTTATGCCAATAGTTCTATGATAGGAAGCAATTTAGCCGAGAATGGAGAGCGTAAATCATTTCCCATAACTACTCCAAACGAATTTGTCATTGCATATACATATATATCAGGCAAGACTTCGTGGCAAAATCTAGACTATATAGTTAGAAAGACATTTAAGGATTACGTGTCACGAGTTGATCCTGGAACTAATTTGGGCCTGAACACAGACTCCATAACATCTTACCACTTAGGTGAAGCCAAGCGAGGTCCTGAAATGGGATTCCCGGAATTGTTACCATGTGGTTACATAGTCGGCAATGTTAGAACTTTGTACATATGCCTTCAGGGAGTAGGAAGCTTAGCTTTCGATAGCCTTATACCACGCAGTATTGTCCACCGCTACATTAGTTTATTAACAGAACACCGTCGACTGATTCTGTGTGGCCCCAGTGGTACCGGTAAGTCCTATCTAGCCAGACGTTTGGCCGAATTTTTGGTGGCAAGATCAGGAAAGGGGAATCCATCCGAGGCTATTGCTACATTTAAGTAAGTTTCTATTTTTTTTTTCGATATTTAATTTATACAAAGTAAAACTATATATTATTTTTTTAAATATTAGTGTGGACCATAAATCATCAAAGGAACTAAGACAGTACTTAGGTCATGTGGCAGAACAAGCAGCCATAGCGAATAGAGCATCTGAATTACCATCGGTAATAATATTGGATAATTTGCATCATGCTTCGGCACTGGGTGATGTATTCTCATGCTTATTAAGTGCGGGACCTGCTGCCAAGTTACCTTGTATAATTGGAACTATGTCTCAGGCAACATGTAATACGACAAACTTGCAGCTACACCACAATTTCCGATGGGTAAATAATTAAAGTCGTATTTGATTGATATGAAATGTAATTCTTTCTTCCCTTTTTAAAGGTTTTGACGGCCAATCATATGGAACCAGTTAAAGGATTTTTGGGGCGATTTTTGCGACGACGTTTATTCCAATTAGAGTTGCAAACTCAACATCCACAACCTGAGTTAGCCGCTGTACTAGCATGGCTGCCCACGGTTTGGCAGCATATCAACCGCTTCTTAGAAGCCCACAGCTCTAGTGATGTCACCATTGGACCCCGCCTATTTTTGGGATGTCCCTTGGATTTGAAGGAGTCTCAAGTTTGGTTCACTGACATTTGGAATTACCACTTGTCCCCCTATTTAATTGAAGCTGTCAGAGAAGGTGTGCAACTTTACGGGCGCCGCGGTGGAGCCTGGAATGATCCATCAGCATTTATACGTAATTCCTATCCCTGGCCTTACGGGCCTGATTCTGTCCCACCCCTGAGGCAAATCAATGCCGAAGATGTTGGTTTAGAAGGTGTGGCAGCCGGCAGTTGCGACAATCAAGATCCATTAGTGAGTCAAAGAAAGTCACAAATGTTCCTTATTTTTATTAATTAATTTTCCTTTCCTATTTGTAGTTAAACATGCTAATGCGTTTACAGGAAGCGGCTAACTATTCTGAAAATCAAGATCAGGAATCGGACTGCGCCAGTCTGGACTCCAACATAACACCAGATAGTTCGGCTGGTGCTGATTGAGAACAGTATATATCATATGTGGCGATGTTAGAAACCAATCCGACAAATAAATCTGTCGCCCTGGCCATATACGTCTTAGTAATACATTATTAGACATAACTAAAAAGCATCATATTGAACTAGAAATGGCAGCAATACTAAACTTATACAGCTTTCCCCCAAAGTTTTTAATACATACGTATTTATATAATATGCCAGTAACAATAATCATAATATGTGAACTTTACAAAGACACTTATGCTATATATCCCAAAATGTTTGTACTTTTTTAAAAAACGATTTTTTACGATAACTATGAAATGTAAGACTTCTTAGGGAACGCCACTGCACACAGTGATTGCTCTACTGAAAGAAAATCAGACAAAACACAAATGTATGATTCGCGAACGCCAACATACATACAACTAAAATATTCACAAGATATTTTCAAGTTTCAAGGCATCGAAGTCTAATCACAATTTGTTTACTACCAAAGGTTATCGAAGTTTATTTGACATTCCTTGCCTGGATCAGTATATATTGTTTTACGTACTGATCGATATTGGAAAATTGGTCCGTAATACGGATACAATCTAATTATGAGACATTCGATGTAATCAAAGACTTACACTCCTTTCTGTAAATATTCACTTCTTCAAGAGAAAGCAGTTGCATAAGTAAAAACAGCCGATGTAGACAACACACATAAAGAAGCTTAAGTTCAAAATTGCACATTTTAGCTGCACTCGTTAAAAATGCAAATTTTCGACACCCACATTGCACAAGATTCGAGCTTGTAACTTCTACCGATGAAATTTGAAAGTATCTTATCACACTAACTAATCCAAGTATAGAAAATCAAATATTATAGCTGTAATATGATAACATATTTCCACTTACTTTGTAGGAAATAAAATGAGAAATGTAATCCTCCCTTATCACACCGCGACCACAGTCGTCGTCCGAAATGTAAAAAAGTGTAAATATATATTTACTTATAAGCCAAATATACTAAACTATTTTACTAATAAAATACCAAACAATGCATTGAAATCATATTAATGCTTTACAATCAATATCAAAATAAGAATTCTTAGACTAGAATAGATTCGCTTATAAGGCTACCCAAGGAAGACCATTTGAAATTCTCGTTGACTGTCAAAATATTTTATTTGAGTAAATAGTAAATAAAAACTGTTCGTGTTCTATAAAAAAATATGTGTTGATTCTTCGCTACGAAAATGTTTGACAACAGGAGAAGAATAAGGCTGACATTATAAAAATAGGTCTTGCTGGGCACTGATGAAATATTCAATAATACAAAACTCGGTAAAAACTGGGAATACTGGAGTTTCTATTCTATGATTTGCATTTAACTTATAGTAACAGTGCTTATTGAAAAATAAATATCAAACATTTTCAAATAATGCCATATTTGCACACGCGAACATGATACAATAAATTTTGATAGTGGTGTCAGATTTAATTATAAAGTTTTGCATCGGATTGTCTATTTAATATTTTATTATATTATACCATTATATTTTGCTTACCATATTCTAGAAAATATTTTAATCTATCCAGATTGAATATTATTTTACTGTAAAAATTTTGACACATCTGTTAAATGTATATAAATACAAATCATAGCATATAATGTGGGTAGCTTCAAGGTCGAATTTTGATTATATACAGTTAGAAACATCTATCATTGTGTACTATACAATATTTTAGATAATAAACATATGCAGTAGATTTAATTAATTATGTATTTTTCGTCGTTATCTCGGTATTTGTTCCAACAAAAAGCATTTCCCGAAAAAATGTAAATTGAAAACAAAATTTCACAATAGGAAAATCTGTAAACGTTTTTCGATGGCTGGAAATAACTTCGTTTCTAAACAAACTAAATTTACTGCATATTGTATAAAACAGAGAAACCCCCTTTTGCGGAATAGTATTTAAAGCTTGTCGCAGTTTTTTGAAATTGTTTTCAATATTATGTTTAAAGCAAATTTATTTATTTGAATATTGTTTCTACAGAGAAATGTTGCTGTTGCTAATGCTGTATAAAGGATTGTCTACGATATCAAACTATACATTTAAGATTTATGCTGATACTATTGTGTAGCTAAATGAAGAGTAAACTATAGAGTATAATGAAATTTAAAATCAAAATAATTTGTAACATAATCTTATTAACAATTAAAAACAAAACAAACCACCAAAAAATTGCTAAAAAATAAATAAACCATTTTCCAAATATTAAAATGAAGACTGTTTGAATTTTAATCGCTAAATGGGAGGTTCATATTAGAAAGTTTTAAACAAATTTTGATATATTCTATAAATAATGGTATTACCTACTAGCCTCGATTGCTCTGTTCCAGAACTACAAAGAATTGATGATATTCCAGAACTACGTAGAATTGATGATATTCCAGAACTACGTAGAATTGATGATATTCCTATTGTGGACACGATTAGTTTCCACAATCGCATTCACTCAGCCTATATTTATTCCTGGTGAATTGTAATGTAGGCATAGTAAAATGATTATGAAAACCTATCATAAATATAAAAAAATAATTATTCAAGGTATGTAATGTAAAAATTGAAAAATAGGTATGTTCGTTCACTCAAAAGTCCAGTAAAGAAAGCGAGTTATCAAATTCTTACTGGGAAAATTTAACCAAAAACGATTTTCCACTAACATAAGCTTATATGTGGCATCCTATCATAAATATAAAAAAATAATTATTCAAGGTATGTAATGTAAAAATTGAAAAATAGGTATGTTCGTTCACTCAAAAGTCCAGTAAAGAAAGCGAGTTATCAAATTCTTACTGGGAAAATTTAACCAAAAACGATTTTCCACTAACATAAGCTTATATGTGGCATCCTGTTTCGCGAATTAAAAGTTAGAGGACGCTGTTTTTATTATATTGTTCGATATGGGTAGAAAATCAAGTGAACTTTCAGACGAACAATGACAAATTGTAATAGATCTGCACATCGTTGCGAAATCTTTACGGGAGTTTGCAAAAATAATGTAGGGCAATATTCCCATAATTCAATATATCGAATCCGGTAACAAAAAATGACAATGACACTGTTCATTTCTACGTTGTCAAATCCGCATCCATTCTACTGTATGTGAGGGAATCTAGGTAAATCCTATAACCAAATATGAAAAATACCATGAATAATCTTCAATAATATTACAACCTATCTCCGTGTAAAATTTCATCGAGCTAATTCATGTTTCTTAAGAAAAAATTAGTGGGCATGTCGATATTAAAAGGCTTGTAACTAAATTAAAATTATATATTTTTCACAAGGATCTTCTTCGTAACTGTGAAGAACATAGAGGAGAATACTTTAGAATTGAATTCATTAAAAAATATTTGTAATTATTATTAAGGTTTTCCTATAGTGGCATATAGGTGAATAATAAGCACCTTTTCAATCATGTTGGCTCAAAATTGGAAAGAAATCTTAAATAAGTGCTCTAAATAACGATTAATTTTACTCTTAATTCCTTTAAATTCTGAAATGCCTTATTTATCCATGCCGACAATTGGATAAAAGGTTCCTATAGTCGGTACCAGGTTTTATAATAGTAATATTTTAATAAATATTTTTTTAAACATTTTTAATACAATACTGATGGAAACATCCGAAAATAATAATTTATTAATGAAAATAGCAGAAAAAATAATTGAATGAATAATTTTTATTTTTATTGGAACATGACATGCCGACAATTAGAAAAAAGCGTTTAATATGCGAAAATCTTTAAGGACTATTGGTGAACTTACCCTATGACTTCTGGAAGAGGAATTTAATGGCAATCTTAAATACTCAAAAAAATATTACATGCAATTATCCAAATTTATTTACTAAATATATTAACTTAAATGTATTTGAAGAGATGTTGGGTTAGTATAAAAGTGACTATTATAAAAATTAATAGATATTTGTTTATAAAAATCTATTTCGAGATCAATTGGATTGTGGCTACTCAATAGGCGAAAGATAGGAATGAACAACTTATATTGTTCCGAGTGTTATTTACTATTTGGAAAAAACGGGCGGTGATTAGCTGATTTTCAAAAATAGTGTAACCTTGTCCCCATAACACTAACAATATACGAATTCCTTGTTATTCTCACTACCAGGCAGCCACACTATGTACGCGTGTTCGCGAAAAGCTGAACAATTTGATTCATGTCGAAGCAGTGCATACCTGATTGGACATCAAAGAATATGTGATTGACGTTTTCAAAATATATTGTTATATTCTTACCTTAAATTGTTTTATCCTTGCTACAATTGCAATGCCCAAATCGCCATAATCCATTTCTCAATCCAAACTAATTAATCTAATTCATAACATTGAAGCACACACTGTGAAATTCCGCAAACCGAGACACCGCGAAAATATTAACGTCGCAACACGTACACGGAATTTTTTTACCAAACTAATTCTTTTTTTACACATATAACTGGGACAGGCGAACACTTTTATAAATATAGTTCGTTGATTTAACTTAAACCGCGAAAATATTAACGTCGCAACACGTACACGGATTTATTTTACCAAACTAATTCTTTTTTTTACAACATATAACAGGGACAGGCGAACACATTTATAAATATCGTTCGTTGTTTCAACTGGCATAACACAAACACTTTTTCTGTAAGCGGGAAACTAGAAAAAGCTCAAATGACGTAAACTAGATTTGTAGTTATCCTCCGTTAAAAAGAGTGTTGACAATATCGATGTTAAATCCCGCGTTTTAACACATTTTTATGTGTCTCTATGTGACTACTTTTGGCAGTGCTAATAATGAATACAATACATTCAAATATGACCGATATTCGACTGGGATATTCTTCGTATTAATAAATGTTTTAAAGGACACTAATTCACATAAAACGAACGTTTTCTTGTTGGACACCGGCACTTTATAGGGATTTAAAATTCTACTATGGAAGTTTACTTAAACAGGGACATAAAAGTCGATTATTTACATTTACATATAATGCCATGTGCAGACGGGCGTTGTTCATTGTATCATTCGTCGTCCGAACCTAAATTGTAATATTACATTTTTACTCGGCCAAATTTCTCGAGTAAAATTTTTGAGAAATATAAAAAATATATTCTAAAAACGATTTGTTTGATTTAATATATAAAAAATATTTTAAGAATACGTGTTGACAAAATAAATAATTGCTTTGCAATATTTTTGTCAACAAATTATTGTTCAATTTCTATTAACAACAATGTTTGTTTTGTAAAATGTTAGTTGTTGTTTCTGATGCATACACCATGGTTCTACACATGGCAGAATAAATAGGTTGTCCATTTAGTACAGCTGATGTCTCGATTAACTGTCAAAGTGCGTAATTTCTACCTGAATTCGATGTGCAATGTTGCCAACCATGTGAAATATTATAAGGAAAAATTTTACTGATGGTCGAGAGAAAAACAAAGGTTTTTGTTTTGATACTTCACCCTATTACTGTATCACGGTTCTACCCTTTATTTGATATCGTTTGTAACGACATATCGCTTATAACGAACAATTTTGCCGGTCCCTTGACCATCGTTTAAGCGATTTGGACTGTATATATTGCCCAGTCGAACTTATGTCTGTTATGTACATTTTAAAAGTATCTATATTAAGATTAGTAACTTAAACGTATATGGGAGTAGCAATTAGCAGAAAAAGTATGCAGAAAAGGAGTAACAATTAGAAAAAGTATTAAACATATTATACATATAATTCTAAATAATTGAATTAAAACTGCATTTCTAACAACCAGTTTGCTTTCCAATTTATAAAAAAATACCTTCCTTCGAAATGTACGCATATCATGTGTTCAGTGGCAAAAAATATTAAATTATTTATATCTAAAACTTATAAAAATATACGTTGTAACAATCATGGTTAGATCTTGAGAGCAATGTGCAGCTTTAGAAAATATATTTTGTTTGATTTATTGAAAATGTGTCAATCGGTAAACATAAAATTTTATTTAATTTATTTTTCATTTTATTTGAAATTGATATATGAGTTATATATTAAAAAGGGTTACCATTATCAATTTCTCAAATGAGACTACCTTGTATAATTATACCATGGTTTCATGTATGGAATTAAGAGACATGAACATATTTCAGGCTATGTTGAGAAGTCGATTTTGAGAAACATGTTTTAATCAAATTGTTAGGCTCTTTTGTAAAACTGTACGGAGTACCCCATCTACTATCGAATATGTTTCAATTTTATATGTCTTCAAGAACTACTCAGACATTTATACCCAGACTATACAATTCTGTGTTTGGAAAAACATTTTTAATACGTTTAACTCGAATATGGAAATACTTGTTTCAATTTTATATGTCTTCAAGAACTACTCAGACATTTATACCCAGACTATACTATTCTGTGTTTGGAAAAACATTTTTAATACGTGTAACTCGAATATGGAAATACTTGTCAGTTATACTAAGAATGTTTTCTCATTCGAACAATGTATTTCTTTTCAAACTATTTGACTATATTTAAAACATGGGTCCAAATATTATCTAATGTTATTTCAATGTGATATATTATTGCCTTGAACACACATAAACATTTACTTATGGTCTGATTTATGTTGGATTGGTGATTTTATTTCAATATATTGTATATAAATATATATTGTATATTAATATAAATATTTTGCGTTAATTAGCACCTTATTTTGAGGAAAAAGCTGGTTGTGCCAATTATATAAGTTCTTAAAAGTAAAAACTTATATAATCGCGTTAATATAATTTATTGGCCTTGAAGGCTATATTATTATTTGATAAAATAAATACAACATTGGTCAATATTTCTCGATGATACTGCTTTATTATCATTTGAAATAACATTAAGGATATCTTTTAACACTTTTTGTTTCTGCATATGGCAAAGCTTTCCAAACTTGAGAGATTCGTACGAAATGCGAAAAGTTTTGTTATTAAATAAAAATGGCGCAAATATCGCGCGACTTCTGCCACGATGTGTAGTTTACGCCTCGTCTCTTACTCAGCAATACGCTTCTTCGCGGTAGCTTACACATTGCGATAAATGTCGCGCGACTAATTTAACGCTTTTGGCTTGCGTCTTTTTCAATTTTATAACAATCGGACGTGCATTTGAAAAAGGTATCATTTTCTGCTCTTTGGTTCTACCTGCGACAATAATTTTCAGCCCGGGAGTCAATTTACGAGTGTCGCATGACATTTTCCGCGATGTGTAAATTACGAGTAAGGTTGGAAATGGTTGTCGCAGGTAGAAACAAAAAGTAGGAAAAAATACAAAATTTAAAATGGCGCAAGCCAGAATTAGTCGCGCGACATTTATCGCAATGTGTAAACTACCTCTTAAAATTTCTTTATATTTGTGCGTCATGACCACGAATCACGGATGTTGCTTTGTCTCTTGAGATGCGCTATTTTTAAATTTGCAACAAGAGTACTTTTCGTTTACAAAAGGAACGAATTTACATGAATGCACAAAAAAGTATATTTTTATTCTTCGAAAATAAATTGAAGCTTAAATTCTAGAATATATTTTTTATGAAATAACAGGTATAAATATTGTCAAATATATCTCAATAATTATGATTTATATAATTTGAAGTAAAATCCAGGGTACCGTTTCGTACCTTTTGTTCCTACCTGCGGCAAGTTTTCCAACCCTAGAAAAATATCCTCGTAATTCATGGTCATGATGAAAAATGTATATTACTACTTAACCGGTGTCTCTACACCTCATTCGTAAATTGTCGGGTTTCCACTTTGTGTTTCAACTTTATCGGTCATTTTTCTTCTCCCCTGTTTGCAACGATGGAACGTTTTTAGTTTTTCTTTTTTCTCAGTCCAGAAAGGTTGCTTGGTTTTTCTGTATTTGAGTATTCGCAGAATTTTCTAAAAAATAAAACATTTCGTACGGCGATGTTAAGAAAATATTAAAAAAACGGATATCACTATGTGACTAGAAAGTGTTATTTCCGCTACATATTAATGAAACTTTTTGCGTGTGGAAAAAATTAATCATCATTAAAGGTGGTATAAGTGTTTTGGAAAATTGAAATGAATAGACACGCTCGCGACGCTACATTTCAATATTATAGATTTTCCGAATGATTTTTTAATTCTTTAGTCTATATACAAATAATTCTGAAGGCATGGAAAACAGTTTACAATAATAATTGGCTTAATATAGTAAACATACTCGGATTAATAAAGAGGAAGCTGTGTGTAGTGTGTAAAAACTAAGTATTCTATGAAATGAATAGACGGCATCAACAATACAGTGTTTTCATTCAATCAACACAGTATTTGTGAAGCAGAGGAAGCCTTTTTTAGGAACTAATTACAGTAACCACTTTAAGTACAACTTACAAATGTATACCCATTTAAACGAGTATTAAAATATTTTGTAGGTTTGAGTTGAACATTTCATCCCTGAACACTTTCTCCAAATGGGTCCACTGCAACAGCAGACGTCGTTAGGAAGCAGCTGCTCTTGTGCTAATGATCCAAATTTTGCGATAATATGTGCTTTTCTGCAGAAATTTGGATGTGACCTGAATATTGATATTCCGAATTTTAAACAGCTCCTGGAATGGCTCACCAAAACTGATGAAGGTAAGCACTGGCTAATTGCATTCTTTGTTGTTACGATCTTCACTAATGTTAACCACAGTTCCCTAATACACAAGCATGGGTTGGCAGCTATTGGTCAGAACAATGTTCTTCAGAGTCAATCATGTACGTAGGTCCTGCCGTGGCACTTATATGAGGAGATATTCTAGCAATATTCATAAATTGAATTGACTAAGGTTTGGTATTGTGTACAATACCCAACAAGAGTATCAATATATAGTACTGACCGTTCTTCTAACCATAAAATACTGCAAACTAATTGACTGTAATTTGGCATTTAGGTTTTCTGATTCATTTAACAACCAATTCAAGCTTTGTTGTGAAAGGAAAAGTCTGAAAAATCGAAAACATTTCTGTTATAGATTCTTGTGGGTTTTAGAACAAGACTACAAGACATTGATTAATCTAGGCACAACATACTCCAAACGAATTCACAGCAATTTTGCATTTGGAGTTTTGTTAGTAGAAGATGCATGCGTATTTAATTTTTTTGAACAACCTCCAATACACCTTTGATTTACTAATTTTTGAATTTTATTTTGAACCCCCATTCGCATTGGCGGCTGCTCTCAGGAATCCTAATAAACTGTTGGATACCTCCCAAAACTATTAACAATTTTATGTAATTTAGTTGATTGCCCTTATACCCAAAGCTAGACTAAATTTCCGATCCAAAGCTAGGGTACATAAACACAAAAATAATATTCGATCCAAAATATACGTGCATAATCATATATTTACTATTTTAACGATGATTTTTCTTTGTATACTGATCTAATTGGATTCTCGCGATTAAAAAGCTCGACAGAAAGGGAAGACTAATGCATGAACTCGACTTCCGGCAGACCTTATTAACAGGCCAACAGACCTTATTAACAAGAAAGACTAATGCATGAACTCGACATCCGGCATACCTTATTAACAGGCCATGGGAAAAGTACGTCCCAAAACTACAATTTTATGTAATTTAGTTGATTGTCCTTATACCCAAAGCTAGAATTAATGTCCCATCCAAAGCTAGGGTACATACACACAAAAAATATTCGATCCAAAATATACGTGCATAATCCTATAATTACGTTTTTAACGATGACTTTCATTTGTAGTCTAATCTAATTGTTTTCACGCGATTAAAAAGCTTGACAGGAAAGGAAGACTAATGCATGAACTCGACTCCCGGTAGACCTTATTAACAGGTCATGGGAAAAGAACTCAGAAAAAACTATGCTATTTATAAATTTCTAATGCTAATATCGACACAGCGATATACTCGATATTTGGTAACAATTGTTACCAAATGTTACTGCATGTTGTCATTTTACCATATAATCCAGTAAAAGAAAGCGAAATGACAGTTCTATGAGAATTTACTAGGTGTTACTGTGTAAATTTCTTCAAGTAAGATATATCCAGTGCAATTCGATATATTTCGATAAGCTGTTAGCTTTAAATTCTGACCAAAGTAAACAAACATTTATTTTATGAATGTTTAATATGAATATCGTTAGCTAAAATGCAAAAAGGCGTAACTAACAAAAAAATTGAAAATTGACTTTTTGAATGAATATTGTGAATGTCAATAAACTACATGTGTTGACAAAATTTTACACGTCTGCGGTCAAAAAAGGAGCTTCTATTAACAAAAAACAAAAAGGCGTAACTAACAAAAAATTCAAATTTTTACTTAATTGTTATGATTGCCATTAAACTAAATAACTAAATTTGTAAAAAAAATATAGCCTATTATATATTATATTAAAAGTGAACTAAAAAAAGTTTTCATTTGACATGTTTATAGTTTTCATTCAAAACAGTTTTTTGCTTCTCCTACACAATTATGCTTTTGCTAGTTACGCCTTTTTGCATTTTAGCTAACGATATGTCAAATGTTAATGTATGCATTTTGCGGAAAATTTGTCTTCTTCCTGGATAATATTTCTTAACTGGAGAGCAAACTTTTTCCATTAAATTTATTATGTAAGCTTTATTGGAGAAGTTATAATAGGTACCTAATAATAACATGGAAATGAAATGTGATTTATGGATTGTATAGATTTTAGGACTATTGATTGAAGAGATTGCCAATCACTATACAACCTTACGACATTCCATAATACGATTTGTGGATTGTGTAATTTTATTTCATCCAATGTAATATAAAAAGCCAATATGGCCAATATCACATATTGAATATATAACAATAATATCCAAACAATGGGAATATTTATAGAAGAGTTTGTCAATTACTACTTCTAAACTTACAACAATCTGTATTATATGTTGAGGCCGCTTTGTTTCTATTTTTGGCGTAATCCAGTTAGACATACATCTTTTAATGGCCTCTTTCTGAGAGATTACATGCAAGTTGTAATGATGTAATGTTATTTTTTGGAAATGTTTGGTATTTCATCAACTTCGTTTGTGTTCTTTAGAATAGTGACATTATTTGAGTTCCAACCTTAATCTAATACGAACTTTTAAATCTAATGTTACAATCTTCACCAATGTTAACCACAGTTCCATAATACACAGGTATGGGTTGGTAGCCATTGGTCAGAACAATGTTCTACAGAGTCAATCATGTACATAGGTCCTGCCGTGGCATCTCACAACGCCTTTGATAGACCACTTATATGAGGGGATATTCTGGCAATATTCATAAATTGCATTGACTAAGGTTTGGTTGTGTACAATACCTCACAAGAGTATCAATATATAGGATGGGTTATGGATGTACGGTTGTTGATAACAACCGTCCACTCGTAGACTATGTCCATTGTGATCATCCTTTTATATATACCTGGACAGAAAAGAAAAGAGAGAGTGAGCAAACTTTTTCCATTAAATTTATTATGTAAGCTTTATTGGAGAAGTTATAATAGGTACCTAATAATAACATGGAAATGAAATGTGATTTATGGATTGTATAGATTTTAGGACTATTGATTGAAGAGATTGCCAATCACTATACAACCTTACGACATTCCATAATACGATTTGTGGATTGTGTAATTTTATTTCATCCAATGTAATATAAAAAGCCAATATGGCCAATATCATATATTGAATATATAACAATAATATCCAAACAATGGGAATATTTATAGAAGAGTTTGTCAATTACTACTTCTAAACTTACAACAATCTGTATTATATGTTGAGGCCGCTTTGTTTCTATTTTTGGCGTAATCCAGTTAGACATACATCTTTTAATGGCCTCTTTCTGAGAGATTACATGCAAGTTGTAATGATGTAATGTTATTTTTTGGAAATGTTTGGTATTTCATCAACTTCGTTTGTGTTCTTTAGAATAGTGACATTATTTGAGTTCCAACCTTAATCTAATACGAACTTTTAAATCTAATGTTACAATCTTCACCAATGTTAACCACAGTTCCATAATACACAGGTATGGGTTGGTAGCCATTGGTCAGAACAATGTTCTTCAGAGTCAATCATGTACATAGGTCCTGCCGTGGCATCTCACAACGCCTTTGATAGACCACTTATATGAGGGGATATTCTGGCAATATTCATAAATTGAATTGACTAAGGTTTGGTTGTGTACAATACCTCACAAGAGTATCAATATATAGGATGGGTTATGGATGTACGGTTGTTGATAACAACCGTCCACTCGTAGACTATGTCCATTGTGATCATCCTTTTATATATATACCTGGAAAGAAAAGAAAAGAGAGAGTGGAAGAGTAGGGAGAAAAGATAGTCAGAGAAAAAGAACGGAAGAGAGTTTTTTTTTTGCACAAGTCAAATTTTTGACAAAGCCTAGGATTTGGTTTGGGTCTATTTTGGAGAAGAAGACTAGATTATCAATTTCATATCTTCCAAACTGTTAATGTCTTCTGCTAATCAGCGATGAACATTTACAGAGGATGTGTTCAATTGTTCCCAGTTCTTCTTCGTCCTCACATAGACGACAGTAATCCTCTCCACTGGAGTCCCACTTAGAAGTGAGAGCTAATATTGCAGTGACCTGTTATGATCCCCACAACGATTTTGTCCTGGAACCCAACATAAACCAACTATCTGTCGTATATCATTCAAAGCGGAATTACAATCATGAACTGCTTTCGAGTTTATAGTATGCGACTTTACCGCTTTCAGGGCCACCTTACTATCGACATATAGTCGCCGGTCCCGTAATGTCGGCATTAAGTGATTTTACTATCTCGGCCGCTTTCGTGATTGCAAGAATCTCTGCTTGAAAAACGCTACAGTTGAGTTTATATGAGTTCTATTGAGTTTGGTTTGTTAAGTTTATATGAGTTGTATATTCCTAATTCTCTACAGTAAACGCCTGCGCCAGTGCCTTCCACCATCTTAGACCCGTCTGTAAAGATTGACAGACCTGGCAGAGGTAAGGAGCCACTAGTCTAGGATTCCCTACTATGGGGTGAACATAATCACTGATATGACTATTCCCCCTAAAGAGGTCATAATCTGGCGTTATGTTTAGGATGCTGGCATGACCATACTTCAGCGATTTCAAGGCATTTGTTTCCCGGAGTCTCAGGGCACACCTGGTCGCCTGGAATTTAATCAGAATATCCAGAGATGCAAAATTGCGTTCAAGGCTGCCTATGGTGTAGTTCTTAATGCTCCGGTGATCAGGATTGAAGCCGATCGCTGTACTAGACTCAATTTTGTCAGCAGCATCTTTTTGTTAACCCCCTGACACCAAACAGACAATCATAGGTAAGAATGGGTAAGACGATCGTCGAATACAGCCAGTGTATAATTTCGGGTCTCAATCCCCAGCTCTTACCTATGGAGTTCTTACATGAGTAGAGTGCCAGCAATCCCTTCTTAGAGGGTTCCTCAACATTCATATTACACATTAGTTTGCGGTATAGGATATGAGGGGATATTCTGGCAATATTCATAAATTGAATTGACTAAGGTTTGGTTGTGTACAATACCTCACAAGAATATCAATATATAGGATGGGTTATGGATGTACG